GTGAGCAGGCGATCCGCAGCTTGTCAAAGCGTTTGGAGCCTTGGGCCGAACACTGAGAAGCAGCTCAATCAGTTAGAGTTGCTAACTTTCCATTGGCTAATGATCGCCCTACCCTCGGGTGCATCATCAACTTCGATACGCCCTCACGCGCCGAAATCGCACGTGGGTTCAGACGACTTAAATTGAACAAGGCCGCTGGAACTGATGGACTTCATCTAGCCCCCTTGCGATTCGGGAACTTGCTCTTTTGGATGATTTACATAAGTTATTAGTGAATCTATGGGAGTAGGAGACTGTCCCAATCGACTGCGTCTTAGTTTTATTTTTCTTGGGAGGCTCCCGTTCAGCATGCGACAGTCATAGAAGAGTCGGTCTGGCCACAATTGCCTCAAAGTTACTTGACTCTGTCGTCCTGCATGGACTAACTGTCATCCGTGAAAGCCAGATGCGCAAGGAACAGGCCGGGTTTCGTTGAAATCTAGGCTGCATTGACTACATTTTCACGTTACATCAGTTGTTATAACGCCACCATGTTTGATGGCGGTCTGCCATAGTTTTGCTCTTAGACATCAAAAGGGCTTTTGTTTCTGTTGATCGATGTGCTGTTTGGGACTCTACTAAGGAAATGTGTGTCCGAGAGATTCGTAAGTGTCATAAGAGAGCTATACGCGCGTAGCTCTGGCAGAGTGAGGGTTTACGGCAAACTTGCGCCGCTTTTCAGTATTTCCAGCGGTGTGAGACAAAGTTGCCACTGTCACCTTTCCTTCTTGACTTCGCCATTGACGAAGTCATGGAAACCGCGTTCGCCGGCCACGACTCAGAAGGTGTGGACCTACTTCCAGGTGATTGACTTTTTGACTTAGAGTATGCCGACAACATTGTGCTCATTTGTGACAACCCCCGAACGCGCCAAGATGCATTGGATAAATTAGTTCTGGTTGTCAGTCTTTTCGGGCTATGCTTTTCATCCTCCAAACGCCAGGTCCCTCTCCACTATTGGCAGAGACCCACTCCTGTGCTGACTCTTGGTGGTGACCAGCTAGAGGTCATCGAGCAATTCAAGTATTTGGGCAGCTATATCACGGCCGGTGGAACGGAAGTCGAGGTCACGCACCGTGTAGCAAAAGCTCGATGCGCTTTTGCTGATCTCCGCCATCTGTGGCGCAGGTGTGACATTACTCTCGCTCTGAAGGACATTGTTTACAATGCAACTGTCCGTACAACCTTCCTGTACGGTTATGGAACTTGGCCCATCCAATCGACTGCATAAAGATGCTAGCTACGTTGTGTCATCGCTGCGTTCGCAGCTTAGCTCATGTCTTGTGGGAGCACCGCTTGTGCAGTGAGCGTGTTCGGGAACTATAAAAGACAGGTTAGTAATGGGGGTTGGGGGGGCGTAAGTAAGACAGGTGGAAAACCAAGAAGGGAGGCACCAGCTGTAGCATGTTTTCGCTTATCCGCCCTGCTGTATGCAGCAGATAAGACGACCCTTGATGAGCTGCGCGAGAGCTGATGGAGGATATAGTTAGAGTTTGGAGAAATTGTCATGGTTGTATGTGGGCTGAGATACTGCCAGGATGCCCAGACCCGGACAGGAGGTCGATTTGGTCCTCAGCCAAAGTTCTTGGCTCGAAAGCCCGTGTGCAACGCAGCGGGTAGGTGGCAGTGGTGTAATTTCTCAGAAAAGAACACCCATTTCAAACCCCCAACTTGCAGGGCCATGAGTGAGTTTGTCTGACCTCTAACCATTGACCAACCTTGTAGGAATAGCTCTCAAGTGGCCCGGGGGCACTGCTCAGTATAGCTCAATGAGTCAGATTGGTACACAAACTATGTTAAGATCCAATCTCTTTGTGATGGGCAGCACGTTACGGTGTAGCCTTATTTCGCTGGACACAGGATGTAACACAAAAAAGCCACTGAATTAACATTTAACAGTATTCACGAAGTAAAGCACGGTATCCCCATGACTCAGTAATGTAGTTGCAGTGACTCAGAGTGCTGAGGAAGCAGTCGATGCTCTACGAATGCAGCTTGCTCCGAGCTTCCAACGAGACGTCCGCCAGTGTTACATATCCACATCCATAGCTCAAATTTCAGCACTTGCGCTAACATCGGTTTTGCTGCCACAGCTGTGTTGAAGCAAATGCTCTCACTGCACCCACACAGTTCGCCCGCTATCGATTGCATTCACTCGAGGGCACTGAACGTAGCATCTACAACGCTGACATAGCTACTAGCGCGTTTTTTCCAAACGTGCCTGGATGTTCAAACTATGCCTACCATATGGAAACGTGGTTTAATCACGCCAATTCTCAAAAGTGGCAGTCTCTCGGAACCTATAAATTTTCGCCCGGCGGTCCTCCTCCCTGTCCTTTCAAAGGTTATAGAGGCGATCATCGCTGAGACTTTAGTCGACTATCCAGAACGCTGCAACAACATATCACCCGTGCAGCATGCTTTCCGTCAGCACCATTCATTCACAACCAACTACTGGTTGCACGCAGTAGTTGGACGAAAATGGCTGAAAAAGTGACAGGGACCGACGTCATTTACCTCTCTTTTTCCAAAGCCTTCAATCACCTGGACCGCGGCATTCTGCTTCACAGACTGGAAACCTATGGAGTTTGGATCCTGTCACTTAAGTGGATCTGAATTTTCCTGCACAATGGGCAATTGCAGCTTAGCGTACGAAGTGCGCTGTCCGATCTAATTCTTGTCGAATGTGCAGTTCCTCAAAGATCAGTTCTGGTGCCGCGTCTTTTTCTCGCTTGTGCGTCAGGTTTCTTAGAATTTTCGCTGACGATGTTGAGATATGGCGGGCGATCATCGACGAAGGACATCACGATGCACTTCAGCGGGACCTAGATAGGGTGTATGAAGGGCCATTCCACAATCTGCTCCTGTTTCATCCGTCTAAGTGTGAGGTGGTCCACATTCGTCATCTGCTAAACAGCACCCACAAGTTTGGAGACCATGTCCTGCAAGCAGTCATTTAGGAGCGCGACCTTGGGGTATTGATCCAGGCTGGTCTGAACTACTCAGAATAATCTGAAGTGTTAAAGACTGGGAACCGACACGTTGGTATGTTGCGGAGAACATTCGGGCAGTTTGATCCATGTTTGTTCGTGTTACTTAACACATGCTTGTGGAATACTCAACCCACAGCCCTGGCACGAGTAACATCTCGCAGTGCTCGAGACTCCACAGCGAATAGCCACCAAGCACGTCGAGGAATTGTTCCACCTTTCATATCAACTTAGACTGAGGACTCTAAGATTTTACAGCAGTTAGTAACGGCGCGTGCGTGGCGACCTAATAATGGCCTACCGGAATTCGAGTAACCCAACCACGACTGCCACCACCTGCTGCAACTCAGTCATAACACGATTTTGAGGGGCTATCAGTTCAATTTAGTCATCCAATACGTCCGACTACCGTGTCGACGAAACTTTTACTCCCTTTCTGTCTGCCAGACATGTAATACCTTTTCAAATTACCTTGTTTCCAGCCCTGACCTTATCTGTGCTTAAAAGACGTCTTAACGTTGCCATAACCCACGTACATTACAAGATATATCCTGTGTACAACGACAGACGACACAATGCGACGAACGTTGCACCAGTAGCATTAACATACACAATCGAGGTTGGCTTCTTTCCGCATGCCACTGGGGGTGGACACTACGGTGAATCTACCAAAACAATTTTCATTTTCCCACTATGGCTTCTCACCATCCTGGCCGTTCCACGGGACTTGTAAAGCATTTGCCTTTTTTTACCCGTAATACACCTTTGTTCCACTGCTCAGCTATCATCTTCCCTGGACTGCTTAATCCAGATTACAACTTATTGGTACGATCGATAAGGCGCATTTCTAGATACAACGGTTTATCTCGATATTTCTTATTTGATTTGAACATTTCCCTACATCTTGGTGTTGCAATAGTTTTTTCTCTATAGTCCCAATTGATTAATTTCTTCCATGATGCATTGATCTTTTAGAAATGCTCCTTTTTCTTCCACAATTTCAAAATTTCAACTTTTATTTTCCTGTACTACATCGTATCGTAATACTATCTTGGCTTATCTATCACCTTCGTTTATGGACCCAAGGAAAGTCACAAACATGCTACGCGAGCAGTTGTTCTAGTGATAGTTGTAGATCGTTAGCATTTTTCTCATTGCTCATGTATTTTCATTGGTATTATTTTCCACTACACCGGCACTGCTTGTGTAAATGCTGAAAATGAACCCATAAAGCTTACTTTGACTTGACTTGGTTGTTCCGATCTGGTGCTCCTTTGTTGCAGTAAAGTGACTTATCAGTATGGATACGAGTACTGTTTATTTTATCTGCATTTATTCGGTCATGAATGTCCCCATCGATCTCGCACCAAGGCCTCTGTCACCGTATGTTGCCTCTAGTCTCCACTCATCCCCCTTCCCACTGATTTTCGGCTTATCACACGTCCGATGTCTGTGCTTCTTTTTCCATCAAAAACAAGCCGGTTTTGTACGTTACTTTTCATGTTTTTATGTTTTTTTTTAAATTGTTCTTTCACTGACGGGCCACGTGCTACTCGGATGAGGGTCTACTGCCCGCTGGTCAACTGTTGACGCTCGCGAAGTTTGCTTCCTGAAGCCCCCCACATGACGGAGTCTGCTATTGACTCTTGACAGCGCGACATTAGATGGCTTGTTCATGTCTCCGTGGCGCTGGACTCTCACTCTTAGTCATCAGTATGGAATAGGCGTAGAACTATTATTGGTGTTTTGTATGTTTCCATATTGGCAACAGTTCATCGACGAATTTTGATAGATGTTTAAATGACTGGCCCCTTGTTGCCCCGTCAGTAAACCACTTTAGCGCTTTTTCCTCGCTTTTGTCTTTAAATCGCCTCAACATTACTCAACCTCCGGTCATGTATTCTACTTTTTTCTCCTCAGTTATTCTACTCATTTTGTTACCGTTTCTCTTGTTTCCTCCCACCGTTGTAGACTGACACTCAGTTGGCTTTAAAGCTGGAAGAAGTGGATAAACAATTGGCTAGTTTACTCAAGGAAGCCGAGGAGTTGTGTGGCTCCGAGTTGAATGCCCTTGTCTTACAACACGAAAATGCGCCTTTTTCTGATGCCCATCACGTTGATATTGTCTCTGCACCCAACACATTTACACTTTCCGAGGACACTGAGGCCAGCATCGAAAGGACGGCATCTGCTTTTAAGGTATCAACTTTCTTCCGTGTTTCTTCGTCAATTTCTACGTTTTTTTTCTTTTGTTCGTAGACCAGGTAGCCGAATTAACGATTTTGTACTGCGTTTAACCTGTTTCGCAAATCGCATCAGGACCATCGCGATTGCCTGTCTCCATGTTAGGTCTGTTTTCGTGTATCAATTATTCTGTACTTTAGCGAGGGCACCATATGGATACGAGGTTGTTAGCACAAAGGATATTTTGGCTTGGCATTTTGTTGTTGTTTCTCTGCGATCTACCGTTTGGCACACTTTGATTTACTGTGGGTGTGTGATACAAACGCTGTGTTATGGTGTCAGGAAACTGTAATTTGAAGGACAACAGGAATCCATCACTACCTCGGGTTAACCTTTTCTCAGCTTCAGATTACACTGGAAGCAGCCGATCCATCGCACATAGCGTTTCTTTCACTTTCTTTGTGATGTATACACTCAGCCTTGAGAATCCGCAGCTGACGCGCACAAGTTGTACGCACGTGCATTGCCTACAACGTATTGGACGAATACATGCACTTTTAATGCTGGCGATCTATACGTCTGAATGTTTCCTTCACCAAACTACTCATGAGAGTACACGGTTCTTGGCTGTTGATACTCTGTTGTGTTTTGGCTTGAGGCCTAGTACATTTACAACGGTCATTTGGATCCCTGTAAGCGTACCAGACCTCACGCCAAAACACAACGCTTTACTCCTCTGATTGTTAGCAAACACATCATGAGTTCTTTGATCAAAGTGTTTAGTCCTCAATGCAGTCCTCTTTTCTCTATTCATGATCCTTTCCTCGTCACATTCGATCATTGCTGCTTCCGCAGCTGAGCTCATGTCTGGTGGGCGCACCGCGTGAGCAATGAGCGTGTTTGGCGTCGCGTATTTCGTTCAGGAAGACCGAATGAACCGCTCAGCACCATTATATCACGCACCAGGCTGGGCCACGGGTTGCGCATGCCAGCGCACCGTCTTTCGCCAGGTTCGTGGTTTGCGCGCTGTGGGTGCGGTTGGAAGAGGGGGAGGGGAAGCGAAGCGATGACTTGGTCGAGAGAAATGAAAACCCTTACTTCGAAGTTGGCGTCGGTTGGTGCATCTCGACTGCCTGGCTGGAGCCCTAAGAACGATGAACACGTTTGTTTGGACACACTTGCTGATTTGGCTAGGAGTAGGCCCCAATGGCGTTTATGTTGTGAGTTTCTTTGTCCATCCCCCTCACTTTAGGTCCCCCCCCTCCAATCCCGATCTCATGTAAAACGCATAATAAAATATTTAACCTCATATTTTTGTAGTGTAATTTGTGTAATCTTTTAGTCTCTTATCTTTTTGTATTTCGGCCCATTAGCTGAGGTTTTTTCTCGCTCTTAACTAACGTATACTGACGATGATGATGATGATGCTTTCCTCTTGATTACCACCCATAGTCGACGGTGAATGTGAAGTGTGCCAATATTCCTTTCACTAACTACCAGTATGTTACTATCAACGGTGGACCCACTATCGGTGTTCTCTTGCCTTCAGTTTCTGTATGTACTCATTAGCACTGTCGGTGTCAAGGATAAAATCACGAACGGAACATCCTGGATTCGAGGCATTTTTGTAACCATTTGTCAGGTGTTGGGCCGAAATAGCAGCAGCCACCGAATAATGGGTGTTGTCTACAGCGTTCATTTTCTTCGAATGTAGACATCCGATCTTAATCGGATGGTAAGTGTGTTCACTCTCTGCCGTCTGCCCAATACATAGTGAGCAACTTGTGTGAAATAAGATCGAATATGCTAATGTATTTGGTTCACTGCCTCCCTCCGGGTTACTGTTGTCTACTGTTACCCAAGTTATTGATGTGACTCGTTACGAACTCCTTTGGCTGCTCTTTTTGTAATCCTCTGACACAATGAGAAATGCCCCTGAATGGCGGTTGTCGACTGTCATTTCCATCATTGAAAGGACTAAATGGCATCAAGCGAAAACCATGTCGATGTTAGTGGAAGGGCTTCGGTATTACTCTGTCACGTCACCATTGATGTTATTCTCCTCCCAACTACCTTCGAATTACTCATCTGCACTATGCCGCGTATGCTCACCGACCCTCGTGACTCTTGAATCGGTGAAACTCAGGCTGGTTTCCGCCCACGCGGTGGGCACATTGATTAGGGTTAGGGATTTGTTCGGTGATCGTTTGTGTCACCTCTCAAACTTGGTCTCTGTGAGCACATTTCTCGTGTGTTTCCATGTCAGCGTCCTAACCGTTCTGTAGGGAGGAGGGGGCAAACATGGAAATAACCCGTCCGTTTGAGATGCAGAAAACACGGTCATTTCCGTTAAAAATAACCGATCCGCAACACAACGATTGGACCAATAGAAAAACGCTTCTGACCGGGTTTGTGCTGCCCCACTTCTGTCTCGCAATTCACCATTATTCCCCATTGCTTCTTCGACCAAGTAACTAGCAGATTGTTTACTGTGTATTTGAGCCTTGGGTGCTTAGAATACCATCGGCCTTTTTCCATTTATCTCGACAATACTACTGGCAACCACTACCTTTTCCTTCAATGAATCGGTAAGCTGCGAGGAAAGTAGTAAAGGAGTCCAATGCTGAAAAGGACTGTATTTTATAGTGTTATTGACCTACAAGTTCAAAGGATTTCCATGATGCATCAGGTTCATTCGGAGTCCAGCTAGCAAGGCAAACAACAAATAATATATACATGACATGCATTGTACAAGAGAGTTCAAAGACAAAGTGGATCCTCAGCTAACCATTGAACATTAGAACAGGCAAATTAATTAACCAAGAACGATGATTGTAATAGACTAATGTACCAGGATTACTTTTATTAACAATATTATATGTCCGGTCTTCCAGAGAAATGCGCAACCTCCTCAAACTCCCACTTTCTTTCCATCTGACTACATTTAGTTACGGATGTGCTACCAGTGGTACTCTCTCAGCGAATGTGGAGATATGACTGGGGTGGTCGGATGATCCTCCTATCGATCGGAGCCAGTAGCCCATTGAGCTCTGTTCGGAATCAGAGCGACAGTATCACTGCATTCAGCACCTTGGAGCCCCATATGAACAGAATTCATCTCCTAATTTTTGGAACCCAACCGCTTGCAATACAGCGAGCCTAGTCAACTTGCAACAAGCATCAGTTCATTTGACTTCGCATCTTACCTCACCTGGATGGCATGATAGGTTTGGAGAAGTTGGCCGATTTATCCCTGTACGAATTGCATCCAGTAGCGTTAAAGCAGGTATGCATTATCAGTGCTGTCCAGAGAAGACATCGGAAGGACTAGTTCATTTGGACATTCATAGTTAATATTGACCGAGTACTGGTTCACCTGGTACAAAACATCACTGGATTTCTTGTTTCAACAATGTGATAGTAAAGTTTTCTCTCTATTCATATCAACCAATGAGCCCGTAAGCGATATTCTATCGCTCACCACTGATTTCACACTCCAAACATGTTTTCCATGGTCTGTTAGACAGGAGAGCGATTGCAGAGGTAGGACATATAAAGATCGTCTTTGAAGCCGTCGGTTTGATGTTTAGGCAGCGAGTTTTTTCTAGTGGCAAAGATAACCGTATTTCGTGAGTTACGAGCAGGTGTCGTGGCCCAGCGTGTAATTACCTGTGCTGTGTCGCAACTTCGGATTGTGCTCATCTCACCCTTGCCAATCATTCATATAAGGCACTGCTTATCCACAGTTGTGAAACTCGTTGACACAGCGCAGCTTCCTGCAACTTACCGTAAATTCCTAGAGGGTATCCGCTTGCAATGCTGCCGTATGTAACTCTTGCCTCTCAGTAGACCCTTAAAAGACAATCAGTTTCACTGATATCAGTGACTCTTGCGGATTTGCGACTGGATGGATCGCGATTTTGAGTATGCAACAATGGCTTCAACAGTGGGGGCTCCGGACGATTTCAACTCAAGTAAGTGCTAGTTGAAAGGTATTTTTATACATCTTTTTTTCACGCTGCCGACTGGTGGAACAAAATCTATACCTTGGGGTCACCGCCTCAAACTTTGCTGAAGCTGTCATGCGAAGCACGCAGTTTCAACACGTTGTTCGGAGTGGGTTGTTTCACAATCACATTGTAAAACGGTCCGTACCGTGGCATCATAGTTTACGCTTAATTCACACCTGCGCCTCCGGATTTTTCCTGATTCCTTCAGTAAAGATCCTTCTACTCTTGTGCCACATCTGAAAGACCGCATGTTTTTTTTCTTGTCTACTGCTTTGATGCGTCATATGTGTTCCTTCGGCCGACCGCGTGTATGTCTGCGTGTGCTTCAGTGCGTGTGTGTGTGTGTGATTCTTACCTTCACTGCGCTCATTCGCCCATGCTACCTAGTCAAGACAGGGACTTGGAATTCAGTGCATACTGCTGTCTGCTTACCCACCAAACGATTGTACAACTGCGTGATTACTTGGGCTTGCGATATGCATGGATTGAATGACAAGTTTTGAGCCTCAAAAAACCAAACTTGATGCAGTCTTCGATGCTTTATTTTTTAACATAATCACCCACAAACGCAGCACACGTGCTCCAGCGGTGCTGAAGCGCCTTTATCCCAGCGGAATAGAACTCTGCAGATTGCGACTCTAAAAACGCTTCTGCGGCTTCAATGACGTAAGTCGTTGAGCAAACGTTTGCAAGCTAAAGCTTTTATCAGTTTTGGAAATAGGTGGAAGTCAGAGGGAGCCAGGTCTGGTGTATAGGGTGGGGGGAAGAAGCTAGAAGTCGCAATCGTGGATTGTTTTCTACACAATGGAAGTGGTGTGGGCCGGAGCATTTGCATTTCACTAAATGACTCCTCTCTTCAGCATTCCTGGCCTCTTCTCGAATTTTTTCTGGGACGTTTCAATAGCTTACAGTAATACTTTCCGGTGATGGTATGGCAATTTTCAAGAAAATCAATCATCACCACACCTTGGGAATCCCAAAACACGGATCTCATCACCTCACCAA